GGCTACCTGTTCATCTGGCACGGAGAGCCGCCGGCGAGCCTCTACGAGCAAATGGACCTGAACAAGGATGGGGAGATCCCCGCTGACGAGGTGAGCGAGGGTCCCGAGTGCTGCCGGATTGTGGGCTTATGGGGTGCAGGAGGAAACGGGGGCGCAGGGGACCCCACCCTGGGGAGCAGCACTCAAAGGACACTGCTGTCCCTGGGCATTCAGGAGGCTGAAGAGTTGTGCAGAAAAAACACACCAGCCTGGAACATCCCTGCTGGATGCGGGCAGGGACACAGAGGGCAGGCTGTGATCTTGTCCCTGCTCCGTCCTCGCTGCCCGGCTGCGGCCCTTGGCACGGGCCGTGATGCTCTCTGCCGTGCCCGGTGCTGGCTGCACGGAGCAAAACAGCATCTCTCTCCTCTCCCCGTCGCAGTTCTCCACCTTCATCAAGACCCAGGTGGCGGAAGGGAAAGGCCGCCTCATGCCCAGCTCCGACCCGGAGAAAGTCATCGCCGATATGTTCAGGAACCAGGACCGCAACCAGGATGGGAAGATCACCTCCGAGGAGCTGAAGCTGAAGTCAGATGAGGACCAGGAGAAGATCCACGAGGAGCTCTGAGGAGCAGACCTCACCTTCCCCCGGAGACAGGATCGTCCCCGCTGCGCCACAGCCAGTCTTCCCCACCGGCTGCCCTGGGAATCTGCCCCTGCCCCTCCCCATCCCTCCGGGGGGGGTGTATTTTGGTGGCGTCCCCCCCCCCCATTATTTAACTGAGGGGTTTTCTGATGTGTTCCTCCTGGGCAGGAAAACTCGCCAACCCCCAGCTAATAAACCCAGGCAAGAAGGTGGGAAGCACCCACGTTCTTGGGAGTCTCGATACCCCACGGGGATGGCAGCGCCCGCATTCCCCCAGCCCTTTTTCCTCTGCCATGGAGCGGGACCAAGGATGCCAGGGCCAGACCCTGGAGCCCTGCCCCGCTCTGCTGCCAAACCCCGCTTCGACGCCCTGCTCTCAGCTCCCCATGGAAGGGCCGGGGCAGCGGCGTCCCCTCCCCGAGCCCCTTCGTCCTCAGCCAGCGACTGCACATCCTGCCCCAGGCTCCTCGCCTGCCCGTGCTGCCTCCTGGGGCAGGCAGGCAGGAGGAGGGGCTTCCCCCCACTTCTACCGCAGCATTTTGTAGATTAGGGTTGTGGGTTTTTGTTTGTTTGTTTAATACACATATAAAATTCTTTAAAGGAGAGGAGAAATCAAGAGAAGCGTTTCATGCGGGTCCCTGCTGCTGGCCCAGCCTCTGCTCCCCGCTGCCATCCTCCCCGGGACGAGAGGCTGGAGGGGACTCAGGTTCCCAGGGCGAAACGCAGGTGCCCCGCACGGATCCACCGTTCCAGAAAACCTGGGACCCCAGAGACAGCGGGGATGGGACCTGGCAAACCCCCCATCAGCTGGGAGGAGACAAACAGAAAGCCTCTCCCACCCAGGTCCTCAGGGAGCAGCCTCGTCCCCATCGGCATCCTCCCCAGCCCTCAGTGATTGAGAAAAAATCAGCCCAATTTCATTTTGATGCCTAAATGCAGCTAATTAACTGGGCACTCTCAGGTTTGCCAGTTGTGACCAGCACGGCTCCATCACCTCCCACCGGCTCTAAAAGCTTTTGCACAGTGTGTCTTGCGGGCAGAGATAAAAGAAACGCAAGAATAGAACAGCGCAAAGGGTCAGAGCGAACCCCTCAAACAATGACTTCTACCTTGCACCAAATAAATAATTTCTACTGGTTTCCGAGGAGTTTGCCTTCGGTTCATGTTACTTTGCTGTGAAACATTCCTGCGTGTCCGGGCAGCGGCGCAGAGACAAACCTCGCCCGTCCCTGGGAGCGCGGTGCCCACAGGGATTTCAAACTCCAGCACTTGCTGGGTCAGGCAGGAGAGAGAGAGAGAGAAAAACCAAAACTCCGCTCCCGGGAACCACCAGTGAAGACGGACGGTGCTTCAGCACCAGCACTGAGCACCCGGGGCCGGGCAGGGACGGGAATGACCCGGAGCTGCGGAGCGGCCCCAGCCACAGGCGCCCCCAGCCACAGCTCCTCGGAGCTGCGTACAAACCACCCGTGGCCATTTTAGCCAACGTTTTTATTTCTACAAGGAGAAGGGAGCCTGCACTTTCAGCAGTCACATTTACTCGTCCCGTGGAAGGCGGCAAGCGAGGGGTGCACCCGGAGCAGCCCA